GGGATGGAGAGCATTTTAAACCTTAGATCGATAGTATCAACACCCTCTGCGAAACTCGAACCATGAGAGTGCAGCGTATAATATAGACACGTTGAAATCTGCGTCAAATTGCCACGAGCGCCCTTGAGTTACAAGGCAAATGTGTAGCTTCGAAAACCCTATCAACACGAACTATAAGTAATGTCGTCAATTGCGATATAAAATAAATCTTGCTTTTTGAAAAAATCCCAACAGAGAATATGATATGGGAAAATTCCAGGACTTTCTTAAAATACACATCTACCTTGTGATCCAATGGCACTCATGGCAATGTGGCGCAATGTTTAATGTGTCGAGATTACGTGCTGCATTATCATAGCTTGACTCACACTGAGGGTACTGATAAGACCTAGGCGAGGTCGAAACTGCAGTCCTCCCTTCTAGGCATTAGCTCTACTCATATAATTATGGGAAAATTCAACTACCGTTCCTTCATCCCCTTAAACGTAATAGGGTGAAAACATCTCATATAATTGATCTTCTGAAAGTCTTGAGGCAGTAGATATGAACGAAAAAGGTTGTATCTGTTATATCACTCTATTATATTTCATATTGTCTCTTTTTAAAGTCGGCTGGTTTTCTTCAAGTTCTACCTAACAAACTAAGTAATTTAACTATAGATATAAAGACAATTATGTTCTAGCCTCTCTTTTGATTGCAGTCTCCTTTCGTGTTATAGAAGTGGTCTCATCCTGTTTTTGCAACTTGATCGTGTTGTCAGAGTAACTTAGCTGGATGCACTTTGTCTAAAGTCCTCTGCTATAGTAGTTAAGATAATTCCCAGTGTCTGACCGTGCACGTGATAAATTTCCAGACGTTTCACTGACATCATAGTCAGCATTGTCAGTAAGTCTTGCCATTCTCATCACCAAGTTACATCTCGCCAAAGAAACAAGTGAATTTATTTCTTTAAACAATTTCTGCTGATACAGTTGTGCTGCCACTCCTCTTTCCGTCCTAACACATCTATCTAGTCTCTAAGCTTATGTCCCTATCGCAAAGTCTGAATCGTTTATTTTCCACGTCTCAATTGGCATGCGTTTTTTGGTGAATTTAGTTTGGCATCGTCACACTTGCCACTTGCCTTGGACCCTCTCCATCTCGATTTTCTGAACCGACTCATGCCGCTGCCCGTTTTATATATTTTAGTTGACTAATCTCACTAGGTTCAGGTCCCAGCGTTGGTTTTACTCCAAAAGCTATTACTCAAGTATTCATTTGCATGTACTAAGTCGCCTCACCTGTAGAGCACCTAGACTCTGATTAACATGCTTGCAGATATTATGCATTGCGTTTGCGGGTTAGCTCCTTGAATAAGCTCTTGTACTCTGAGCAAACTATGCGCGCTTATGTGGAGATCTAGTCAATTTGGCTATAATCAAGAAGTTATGTGATGGATGAGATTATCAATCTCTCTTTTTTTTGAATCCCAGGCTACAAAATTTGTAACTAATATTTTGAGCAGACAACACTCACTGAGAATGTCTTTGCTTGATCTCCGAAATTTTCTCACCCACATCTTCCTTGAGATTCCTTTTACCCCTGGTTAACGATAGATTATTTTTGCTTGTTTTTTCATATCCTTGCTTTCTCTGAGTTTGCTTAAACAATGGGCAAAGTTATCGCTAACGCTGCTCCCTTCCAACCTCCTGTCTATAATGGCGCCACGCCAAACTCTTCAAAAATGGGCACACCTCGTAAAGAGTAAAATTAAAGCAACTTAGAAGTTGTGATGGAGCGGGAGTAAGATAAGTGTATAAGAAACAGATAGATAGGTCAGGACAGAAAGAGATATAGTGCAACAAGTTGCTAAGAATGCTTGTTAAAGGATTGACGAGTCGCAGCGTGATGCTGAGAAATGCAAGATTATACGATGATCCCGATTACGATGCCGGCAAAGCGTCTGGGAATGCACCATGTCAACGATCTGTCACTGAAAATTATGATAACTACTATAGCTAAGGACTTCGAGCAAGGCGAATTCAATGAAATCGCCTTGAGGGCACAAACAAGTTACAAAATTAGGTGATGCTATCGATGAACATAAAAAGACACAATTATAGATCATGAAAAATCTCACCAGAAAAAAGGGAATTGTAAATTGTCTAGACTTTGTAAGAATTCGCTTTTGCTCTTATGACATTTTAGGGGTGTGCTTAATGTGTCGATTCTATATGTCTCATTACCAGGAATATAGTTCTGTAGATAAGACCAAGATGAGGACGAAAATGCGTTCGAATATAGATATGAATAAATTTGGAGTAGCAAGTATATGTATAAGTACATAAAATTGTGACGATGGCTCATATCAATATTGTAAAATTTCATTATAAGTTATTAATATCATAAAAGGTAATAGTGTGAGTAAAATTCTTTTTCAAAATATACAAAAACTAAATTAGTTCACATATAGAGCAAAATTCAAGAAGCAGAATAATATAATAATATAGGTTTTGAGTAAAAGTATCCAAATAAATTTATATTAAATGTTTTGCAGTGTTGTTTAATTATTTTAGTTTACCTATCAGACTAATAGACATGTCCGGCAACGAGGCTTATGCTAGTGCGCTAGAAAGAGCCAAGCAGGTAGGCTATTTTCGGATACAAATATCCTTATAAGATCGTGTCTAAATTTTCAACTGGGGACGATAGTACCTCTAATGGCCCTCTAGCTGGCATGAAACGGCCAGCTCAGGACGACAATTGCTATGTTAATGAAAAGCGTCCTTTTGTAAACGACAAAGTAGCTGCTGCAGCGGAAGCGGCGGCAAGAATAAATCAAAAGCTTGGTGGTGTTCCATCACAAATTCCCCCCTCTAGTACTGCTCACGTCATGACAACTGAAATTAAGATTCCTGATAGATATGTTGGCCTAAGTACGTTTTTTGTCTATCAAATTGGAACTTTTTAGTTATTGGCAAAAAAGGTGAGCAGATCACTCAACTTCAAAACGATTC